TATTATTATTATTATTATTATTATTATTATTATTATTATTATTATTATTATTAATTATTGATGTATTTGAACAGTGTTCATATATGAGACGGTGGGAGCTGAATAAATTTACAATTAGAATTAACCAGGAATAATATTAAATGCAAAGGCAATTTTAAATAGCTATTTCGATTTCGTTGATTGACATTATTGTCATTGAATGGTGACAAATGCTTTTCATTGGTATTCGTTAATATAAACTGCTTTTATATTGTATTATTGGGTCGATTCGTTCTATAATAAATATGAAATGCTTTATTTAAATTAAATTAAATAACAATTTTGTGGTGTAATTACTTTTGGCTTTCATTTAAATAGCATCGGAGAAAAAAGAAGAAAGAAGGAAAAATAAAAAAAGCGAAAAACGAATACCTATTATTATTAGTAAATATTATTATTATTGTTATTGCTATCATTATTGTTACTATTATTATCGTTGCTATTACTATAATCATAATCATTGTTATTGTTATTATTTATTTATTTAGTTTGTTTATCTATTTATTTATTATGATTATTATCTTTATTACTATTAATGTTAATTTTATTCATTGTTAATAAATGTAATGGCATGGTATTATGTTTATGTATATCGTATCGCTGTAAATTTATCATGATAATGCGCTGTGATTATTTATTATTATTGTGTATTATGATTATTTAACATGATAATGTATTATGACGTGTAGTATGATTAATTTATTTATACCGTATAATTGTGAATATGCAAATCTATTGTATAAATATTACAATGATTGTATATTATGATTAAATTTTTAATTAAAAATATATGTATTTGCATGTTTTTGCAAAATAAATAAATATGTATTCATAATGCTTAACAGTTTATAAATCGTCTGATACTGTAATTATTTGATTAATTGTGATTAAAATTGAATTCGGATACGAGTGAAAAAGTTTTAAAACGTTTCCTTCTTACCTTTTTTCTTTTCCCACAAATATTTTCAATATATTTTCACAGTTTTTGACGGTATATAATTTATTCGATACAGTAATCATGCATTTACAAAGAGCGATAATTTCATAAACGATACAAATGTTCTTAAATACAGCAATAATAAACTGGAAAAAAAAATTTGCTATTTCGTCAAATCTAAAATTAAATGGTTTTTAAACAAAAAAAAAAATGAAAAATGAATTTAAATCATTTCCAATATTTTAATTAACTATTTGCAGTATGTTTGAATTATATGCTTAAATACAAATCTCTCTTTTTTTTTTTTTTTGTTTTGAAATAAATGAAGGAAAAGGAATAACAAAGCACGAATTAAACTGTTATTAAATTTAAAAATTCGCGTTTTTCTTTTTCAAAAATATTATTAAAATTTAAAAATTTTCACTGCTTCATAATACATTGAATTTAAAAAATGTTTTTTGGTTTTATTTTTTTTTTAAAAAAAAAAGTTCTCTTCGTTCAACTTTTTTTTTAGCCTGTAAATTATAACAGATCTGATCCAAAAATATTACATTACTTGTTGCCTCCTGTAATACTTCGGTTACTTGAAACGAAAGATTTTTGAAGTAACCAAATGTCACATACGCCAGATTACCCATTACTGGTCAATTTGTCATTATAAGTTGTTGTAAGTTGTAACAGATCTGATCGGATATGTTAAAGCCTTTTTCCTTCTCTTTTTTGCTTCTTAATATTTTGGATATTTAAAAAAAAAAAAAAAACAAAAAGGATTTGCCGACATTTTTTTTTTTTAAACATTAATTATCTATTATTCTTGATAAATTGGAATAAGTTAAAATTGAAATAGGCAATATTTTGCATATAGTTCATTTCATTACCGCTCTCATATATCGGGTTATCATCAAAAGAAAGATACCGGTGCATATTACATCATTGAAAATTAATCTGATAATCTGATATCCCTAAATCTACCCGTAATCTATCCGTCCATCCGTCCATTCGTCCATTTGTCCATTTATTCATCTGACCACAACTATCCTATCCATTTTCTTTTTTTCCTTTTTTTTTTTTCGTACTTTTGCATTATTTCATTTTTTCTTCTTTTTTCCACCAATATTCTTTCTATTCATTATATCAAAATACCTGGAAAAAATAAATAAATAAATAAATAAAAAAAAGAGTAAGAAAAAAGAAATAAAAGAACCGAAAGATGCCGATCATAAACATATCATTGACTCAATGACCCTTGAACTTGTCACCATCATCATCATCACTGGGTTATCCACATATGCAACACTTCAAATACGAAAATGGCAAGGAAGAAGAAGATAAAAGCATTAATAATATGTATTGAATTCTTTTTTTTTGTTTCCTTCTTATTCTCTCTCTTTTTTTACTTTCTCTTTCTTGTCATTACTTCAATTCGTTAATTACATCGATAAATAAATATGACAGTACTTCATCTGTTTAAGTGATAATAAAATGAGTCATAAAATTGGGAATGTATTATGTAAAGATCAAAAGTTTTGTTTATTTGTTTGTTTGTTTTCAGTTGATTGAATGGAAATGAGAAAATTATTAAGTAATTATTTTTACTACTATAATTACTTGTGATTCATTACCTTATGATTCATTCTGATAATAAAAAAAAAAACAAAAAATGATATGTTATCATTTTGCAGCTCATTAATCAAATTTTAATCACTTCTTTATCTTTTCATTCAATTTTTGTTATATTTTATGCATCCAAAGAATTATGCTTCTTATTAGCAAATGATCTTTACATTTTAATAATTAATTTCAATAATTTATTTTATCTTTAATTACAATTATCCGAGAATTGATGTGCATAAAGTGATGATGATAGTGATAATGAAATAAATGAATGAACAATGAAGAAATTCAAATGTATTCTTAGCAATAATTTATCATCATTATCATCTATCATTGTAAATTATCATTATCACTATCATCATCAACATCATTATCATCATTCATTCCTGCTATTTTCACCATCATCATTGATTAATCATATCGGTTTTTCAAAAAAATTTTGGATAATATAATTACTGATCTTATTATGACAAAATTCCCATATTCCTAATGAATTATTTAGCTGTTTGTCATTATCATCATTGTTATTTTCATCATCATCATCAACATCAGCATCATTATTGTCATTATCATCATCATCATCAGTTGTCATTATAATCATTATTCATTGTCATCATTATCACTATTTTTTGTTATTTAAATAAGTAAAATTTCAAAATTTAAAAATTATCATCAAAAGTTCTCTGTAAAGTTAAAGAATAATCATTTTACAAATTTATCATCTTGAAATGATAGTTGATAATAATGAATGGAAATATCCATATGTTTACGTTATTCCATCATCTAAATGGAAGAAAAAAAGAAATGAAAATGCAAATTTTGTCATTGTGATTGAAGTGGTAAGTGTCGTAGTGTCGTTGTGTCCATCGAATGAATGGATGGATGAATGAATGAATGAATAATAAAAGACAAAAAGAATCAACATTAGCTGTGACACGTGTGACAATTATTTTATTTTACAGTTTGCGCACAAAACAATGATTAGAGATTAGGGAAAGGAGTTGGAAAATGAGGTAATAGATGTGGAAAAAGTGGAAGAAAGAAAGAAAAGGATGAATAAGAAATAACGGTAGAACAAAAGGATTTTGGGTATAATTTGCATAAAAGGAAAAAAAAAGTTAAATGAAAGGATTAGTCAAGTGGATAAAGTAAGTAGCTGAGAAGAAGGATCAAAAAAGCTGGCATGGATCCCATCTTTTTTATCAATTTTTTCCTTTTATTTTCTAAATTAATTACGATGACTCATCATTTATTTGTTTACTGTAAACAAAACTATTATTATGGTAAGAAAAAATGCATTTTCTTTTTTTTTTCGTTTGCACAGTTATTTCTTTGAAACTTTTTCCTTCTTTTTTATAGCAAACAAACAAGTAAACAAACAAATAAACAAACAAATCAAAGTTATAAATAATTTTTTTTCAAAGACTTTCAACTTTTAATTCTTTTTTTAATGATTGAAAAAAAAATTATCAAATATGCAAATTTGCACACACATTTCAAATCATTTCAATCGTAGACTATACTATAACAATAACAAAATAAGATTTCAGTAGTAATTAAAAGTTCACAATATTAATAAGTATTTTAATGGATAATTAATCAGTATGAATAATAATAGTGATAATGGTAATGATAATGTCAATAGTTGGCAATGATAATGATAATGATTTTGATAAATCCATGTATAATGTTGAATAATTTCTTCGAAAATAGAAATGCGATTAATTGTTAGATTGTAATTTGATAAATTTTTCAAAAATTGATAATGATAAACTCAATAAATTCGTACTAATGATAATAAATATGTTCATAATTTTTGATTATGCTTACATATTTTCTTGTTCTTTTTTTATCATTTTAGATGATTGTCAAACATTTTGATGACAATTATTTCAAAAGAAATAGTATGCATATATAATAGTAATAGAAAATTGAAAAAAAAAAATCTTTAAGCTTCATATTTACGTTTTTCTCTAATAACAAAAATTTTAATGACATATTGTATATTATTATTTATTATTATTATTATTTTTATTATTATTATCATTATTATTATTCTCATTATTATTATTATTATTA